CGAGATTCTAGTCTTGTTATTAAAGGACATTCTAATTAAGCTCATCTCGGCTTTCGTTACTGGATGGAGGAGGGGGTCAGAACAGATCAGTATAATAGAACCCAAGAAATGTAACTGAGAAAGGAGTGTTGCATTAAAACATTATTCAGATTTGGCCATCCTGGCTACAAAACAGAAAGTGTGCTACCTCTAACAGTTACCAGGGCTTGTGTAAAAACCAGGCATTTACTTTCTTTTTAATGTTGACAGATGATAAATGGAAAGCAAGGACATTGGCTAGGTCAAAACTGGGTTGACCTCCCCTTTGATGTTTCCCTACAGATGTCTGAGCAATGTCATGTACCCTTAAAGTATTTCAAATTAAGCAGAAAAGCTCAAGTCATTTCTTATGCTGAATGGATCTGTCGATTTAGGCCATTTAACAATAGTGAGTAACAAATTAAGCCGGTGATAGAAGATCAATGGACAAAGCATCTGTTATTATCTGTGGGCTTGACAGATAATCAGACTTCTTGCCTAGTGAGTACAAAGATGCTTTATGGGGGTTGCAACAAGTCCCCGAATTTTAGCATCGTGGATCATTTATAAATGCCGCGTCCCATGTACGAACCATCTTTCATTGGTTTCCTGGCTTCAGCCAGGAGACAAGGGCTAGTTGTCATGAATGCCATCAACTTTGGCTACTGCCATTTATACAACAGGATGTGAACAGGAATGAGATTTCAAAGCGATCGGTGTGACTCACATACGATTAGTTTCCCAAATGACGGTTGTATTTAAATTTGCAGCCTTAATTCAAAGAAGTTGTCATGACTTGAGCTGAGTTACCTTTTCCGAGAAGACTGGGCTCTTCTGAGGAGCACATCAAACAGAGCAGGATACGAAGAGTTATTTTCTGTTTAGCATTGTTATTCTGAATAGTAGTCATCATGAATTCTTTTTTTTTTCCTCTTGTGGTAGAATCTCAGTTAGACTAGAGGAAGGTGTTAAGGGAGAGCCGAATTGAAGAGTCCTTCCACTGCAGAAAGCAACACACGCCTGACTGCTCCCAGAATCCCTGAAGCCTTAACTGACCATTCCTGTGGGAATGTACTCAGTCTGGTGAGTTTCTTGTAACATAAGTGACTAATAATAAATCTTATGTTTGAGAGTCTATAGAGATTCTCAGTCATCCAGGTCATGGTTCTCCCAAAGGTGCTTTTTCAGGAGGCAACTGAACTTCCTGGTCTTTCTGGAAGACATTTCGCTTCTCATCCAAGAAGCTTCTTCAAAGCAACCAGAACCCCTATTCATGAGTGGTTCTGGCTGTTTGCACCTGACGTTCTTGTTGTCTACAGATAGATCATTTCAGAGGTGGGTTCCTACCAGTTCGCACCTATTCGGTAGAACCGGTTCGTCAAATCTA